CCCTATCCTAAATCAAGGTATCACATTAACAAATATTTTCACTTAATATATATATGAGTACTTTGGATGTATTATTGGAAAATAAACATATAGCATTATAAATTTTAGCCAACAATATCAAGAAATAAAAAATTAATTGTGAAGAGGAATAACGGATTTCAACGTAGAAAATCTAAATTATTTTGGAACAAAGGTAGATACGTGTCAACCGCTAAAAGAACAACAGTGAGAAAAAAAATTTGAACAAGGTTATTTATATAACTGTTGTATCTGAAATTTTGATTTCTGACGGCCGGTCTTTAATTTTAAAGCTTGTCGAAAGGGTTAAAAATGTGAGTTCTCCGGATGATTCAAAAATCCTTCGGGCTAGTCTCGCATAAGATGATATTATAAACAAAAAAAAAAAATATGATAAAATAAGGTAAAAGAAATAGACAAAAGTTGGAGAAATCCAACATGAAGAGGGAAAAACAAGATAAAATTGTGTTATATTAAGGAAGAAAATGAAATATATTACTAGAAAATTATAAGGAACAAAAGTAAAAAGATAATATAAGGAAAGAAAAATGGTAGAAAAAAATATAGACAAGTTTGTGGTGTGCTGGTTGTTTTTTTGTTTCCTTCTTCCATCTTGATTTTTATATACCTCATTATACTTTTATTACACTTCAATAAGTGTTTTAACATTCATCATTATTGGAGATCATTAAGGCATCCTCTATTTCTTCATAACTTTCATAACCCTTAAATTCTTCAATGATCTACTTAGTACAATCCATAACTCCAAATCCGCCAACCCTTATGACTTCCTCTCATTTTTATCATCATGCAATTAGTATTTCAATACACAGTACCAAAATAATGCTAATTTATTTTTCCAAGTAATATCTTCTATCACTTAACTCTTGTAACTTCCACCACTATCCATTTTTTTAATCAAAGTTTTAATGTAAGTTACTTCCTTAATGTTCATCATAATAGATTAATCAATTTTCATCATTAAATCTCCCTCCCTCCTCAAAGTCATCTAAGACTTCATTTATTTATTATCCTTCATAAGTTCCCCCATATTCTCATAAATTCGCCCAAGTAACAACAATAACTGTCATTTTCGCCACTTTAATTGTCATTTATGCTGCCTTAACTTTCATTTCTTCTATCTTCTGTTTCGATTTCACTCCAATCGTATCATTTTGAAATTATTAGCTTGTAGTCCTCCTCTTACACAATCCATTCATACTTTTCTTGGCGGATTATCATTTTCTTGGACTGAATCATCTCCAAATCATGTTGTTTCGCCATTTTCCCCCCCTCCATTTGCACTTTTTGGATACAACAATAACGCAAAATAAAATTCCTAAACATAAACACTAGGGTGAAAAGAGGAACTCAATTCAATTATAATTATTGTGGATCTACTGGGCCTTCGACTCCTACAAATTCTCTATAATGAGAATTTCAAAGTAACGTGTAGTTAACGAACAAGTTCCTTTTTACAAGTGACACGGTAAGAGCTTCATATGGATGGGGAAATGATAATCATGGGTGATTAAGAATTAAAAGTTTTGTACATTTGAATGCCTTTGGCATCTGTTTACTCTAACGATTATGAAGAATTATTTGTGTGTTAATTATATGAAATAAATAGATAATCATTTGCAATCCAATACAATAAACATTATTCATGTTATTGTGGTTTTGTAGTAATTATATGTATTATAATATTATATGTAATTGTTAGAATGAGTTAATGAGGCGAGCTAATCCATAATTTACTATAACCCACAAATTGGTAGTTTTCTTGGGAGATCTAGGGAGGGGGTGGATCAAATTTTACTTAATCCAACAATCCTTTAAAGTATGGGTAGTCATAATGAGAGCAAGCCAATCTAGTGGATTCAATTTATTTTAGCAGCTCTATACACAATATTGAGATAGTTTTATAATTTTTTTTTTATTTTAAATTTCTTACATGCTTTATCCAATTTTTAATCTTACAAAAGTTAAAATATCAATTTTCAACTTATTTAGACAATGAGTTTTAAGATTCGAACTGTCAAAATAGATTGATGAGGTGAGCCAACCCACACTCACTATTTGGCAGATTTTATTAAAACTAGATAATTCAATACTACTATGATATTGTTTACTCGGTAGCGGTTCCCTAGGTCAGAAAGGGGAGCAGATGTTTGAAGGTTTGTCTTATTATTATATTATTAAAGTTGTTAGAGAAAAAAAAAACTTCTAAAGATACATACCTGGAACAACTAGAAGACAACCAATAGGAAACATCCTGAACGAACAATTTTCCGTTTAAGGTATATCTATCACTCGTTATGCCGAATCAATCAACAAGCAACCAACATTCTCTATCTTCAACGCTTCAGGCAGGCGGCCTTGTTGCAAGGACTTGATAGTGGTGCTATAGTCCATGGAGCTCAAGATTGGTATTGGGTAGAACACGCACAGATTTATATTTGAACTTCATCCAAAAAGTTTCATACTAGTGGAATCATACGTGGACTTATAAGTTGTGGATACTTGTTTTAATTTTTTATCTTTCAATATGAGACTTAAGTTTGCACTTCAACATATATGTGTCTAACCCTCTCAACCGTCCTTATTTAACGGTGTTTGCTTTCCACGCATCCAAACTGCATATAGCTTTGGAATCTTCATTTTTAAATTCTTTAAATTATAAATATATTAATTTTTCTTCATTAATTTAAAATATTCTTTTTAAAAATATAATCTCGATAAAAAAACTAAAACTCAAATACAAACAAAACCAAAACTCCATTAATTAATGAGATACACATTTAATTGATTGTGTTGTAAATTTTTTAATTACAAGTGCTATTGGGGGTGAGCACAATAGCCCTCAACGATTTCCACACTTGTTTGAACCACGAAACGTTCTTTAGCCTAACTATAAGACGTGCGTGTGTGTGTATATATATATATATATATATTATATGGTGAATATTTAATAAATAAATAAATAAAGATCTTGTATGAAGAATGCACATGTCATAATGAGGACATCCAAGTGCTATTATTGTTACAAATTTTTGGGTGATTTTTGGTTCTGGTTCTATTATCATTATATATGTTTTTTTTTACTAACGTGGCCGCTGCAAGTCAACGTAACAACGTACTCCCTCCATCCCAAAAGTATAGTCTTATTGTGTTAGATACGAGATTTAAAAAATATTAATATTATATTGGTAGAGTTGGTAAAAAATAAGGATAAATGAATTTTTTGCCCTTGTGAGTATATTAGTGTAAAAAATAGTGACAATTGTGTAAATAATAATGAAAAAAAAAAGATAGTTTTATGGTGATATGGTTATTTATGGAAATTAGACTATTGTTTTGGGACGGACAAAAATGATAAACAAGACTATTGTATTGGGACGGAGGGAGTATAAATTAAACTACGTTAAAAAGAAAAATTATATTAGACGAACTATGTGTTGTAAACAAAATCGTTATAATTCATCCAACACCAGTATACCATTACTTACGGAACTTAAATATGATATTTTATATATATATATAAAAAAAAATAATACCCTTTTTTGTCTCAATTTATCATTTATATTCGTCCTAAATCATCTCGTTACTGTAAATAGTCATATCACTATAATATTACATTATTATTATTGCACAAATACTACAACTTTCGTTCACAACCAATCTATCATTTGTATTTGGCGTCATTGTTTTTAACATTAAAAATATCCTTATATTTGTATAATTTTTTGTACAAATGTCATTACATTAGTATTATAAGACACCAATAGAAATATTTTTATTGTTTTTCCTTAATTTGTACTAAGTTTTGATATAATAATTAATATTCAAAAATTAACATGAAAAAAGTAAACGGATAGATCGGTGGTGTACGGAGGTACTATTAGTTTTTAAAGTTAAATTAAAGCTCACATTAAATTTGGTACCACAAAACTATAGTTCATATGTAATTCTAAAATTTCAAATTCCATTGATCTTAAAGTAGTACTAAATAATAATAATAAATAAATAAATGGGGTCTCTAATCATGCCAAAATTTTAAACATTCCTAAACATCATCAGCAATAGCTAATCAATTATCATCATCACATATTCGTGTAATAATTGGATCCATTAATTTGGGCTAAAGAACAAACAATGGATTATTATTAAAAATAATTATATATAATATAATATAATATAATATAATAATACAATACCAAAATAATAATAATAAAGAAAGTGCATTGAGGAGTAAGTGGAGGTGTTCTCATATCTAAAGGGCACACTTGTATCCAAATCTCACTTCCCACCATTCACTAAAATATTGTTATATACAAAATAAGATTTTTTTTAAGCGTGTTCTTTTGGTTTTAGATTATTATTATTATTTAAAATAATAGTTTGAATTTAACATTTCATTATAAAAAAAATAAATAAAGTTGCCCATAAGTACACAGTGGTTTCAAAATTCAACCTAAAATATCTCATTATTTTAAAAATTGCATAACACTTCTTTATATTTTAAAAAAGCATTGCATAAAATTTCACCGCCATTAAACCTTCATTGTATGATGAGAAGATCTCTTATCTATAATGTTTGTATGACAGGGTTTTATGCAATATTTTAAAAGTATAAATGGCGCTATCCAATTTTTAAAGTAAAATAGGGATTTACACTGAATTTCGAAAGCACAGAGGGGTTTCATGCAACGTTTTTGAAAGTATAAAGGGACGTCATGCAATTTTTAAAATAAAAATAGTATTTACGTTAAATTTCGAAATCACTTGAAAGTTATAGACAATTTTACCTAAAACAATATTATATGTTTTTACAAAAAATTGCAATAACTGCATAGAACAAAATTAAAGTCAGACGTCAAAATAACAGAGCGCGTACGTACTTCATCCCAAGCTACCAAGCTTCATCTCAGGGCTATATAAATGCCATATTCTTGTCCAAATATTTCACACATTCGACACTCTTTTCCCTTTCATTACATACATAGATTTTAGTCAACTCTTTAATCAAGATACAACTATATATGTATATGAATATGAACTTTCCTATTTTCTCAATTTTGGTTCTTGTGTTGCTCGTTGTTGCTTCGCCGTGTCATTGCCAAGACGGGTATGTTTGTACAAGGGCTACATATTACGGAAGCCCAGAATGTCCTGGGAATCCTCGTACGTATACTTTTAACTCGGGCGTGTTTTGTTTGTATTATTAATCTTTGTTTCGCATTACGTGTGTTTATAAAATTTTTTTCTTTTTAAAATTATAATTATAAGAGAAAAAAAAATACTTCTAGACACGCTGCAATTGATGCAATAGCTCATGTTCGTATTTTATTTTTCTCACATCCAAAGCAGTTTTTTCATTAAAAACCCACATCTAGCAACTTTTTCACCACAATATATATATATATATATATAAAGACACGCAAAAAAAAAGTCATAAGCAAACATACAATTCATTTTCAAGCAAAAATTTATGTAAAGTTTTATATTCAATACTTATTTTGACTTTTTTTTTTAAAAAAATACTAATTAATTGTAGATGGAGCATGTGGTTATGGAGAATATGCGACAATAGTGAACGACGGTCTAACTGCCGGGGTGTCGAGACTTTACAAGAATGGATCGGGCTGTGGTGCCTGCTACCAGGTACTAGATAAATTCTATAGCTATATATATTGGACTAAGGCGATTTTGAAGTAATCTTTTTTTTAGGTACTTTACATATATTTTGAATGAGATGATCGGAATTACCCTAAATTAGATTGCTGAATCAGTATATGATAATAGTTTTATATAACATACATTACAGTTGATTTAAGGACAAAGATGTAAATTAGTATAACACCAATGTTGCTATTTATTGACAATATATGATAATAATTCACACAACATATGAATGTGCATGTTAATATAACATAAATGCATAATATAAACTGACAGTACACGATAATAATCCATACAACACATACTAATTTAATTCCAAGTTCTTGTTTTTGTGTAATAAACATATTGGATGGCTAGCCTGGAAGGATAAGGACATCCACAACCCTTAAAATACAAATATTCACTATTCCATTATGCATTCTCCACTCACATATTATCCCATAAAATATCACAAATTTAAAAAGAAAGATTGATTTTTCACAAGGTACAAAACAAAACATATAATAGAGAAGATACATACCAGAAAGGAAAAAAAAATAAAAGTGATAATTGACCATAGATAACATAATTGATAACAAATGATGGATTTATAATTTATGTTGTAGGTTAGGTGCACGATCCCGACACATTGTAGCAAAGAGGGGACAAATATCGTGGTGACAGATTTTGCCATTGGGCATTACACTGACTTTGTACTAAATGCTCGCGCCTACGCCAGTTTGGCGCTCCCAAACATGGCTTCTGAGCTCATTGCCTATGGTGTGATCGATGTTGAGTACCGAAGAATCCCTTGCAAGTATAGCTATAATCTCAAGCTCAAAGTTCACGAGCGTAGTAGCTTCCCGAGCTACATTGCCATTTTCCCTATATACCAAGCGGGGTTTTACGATATTGTTGCCGCTCAAGTGTGGCTGGTAAGTCTCGCCGTCCAATTATTTCATTCTATTTATGCTGATTTGTCGTCTCGTGACAAATTAGTAGACGATAGCGGTATGCGTTGTTCTAGATTTTTTTATTTTTTATTTTTGAGAAACAACTGTTCGCTCACATTAGACAAAGTGGAAAAAAAAAAAAAAAGAATACCGTGCAAAAAATAAATACTTTAATTATGATGAGTGAATAAAGGATTTGTATCGTATTTTGGAATTTTGAGATATTTTAAAAATAAATATTTGATTTGACATTTTAAATACAAAATATATAAAGAATGATGACTTAAGTAATAAAAATGTTTTAATAGTCAACTATTAAATGTTAAATACTATTTATTATTTTTATCCTTTGACATGAAATTCTAAGAGATGCATAATTTTAATAGTTTATTTTTTTAAGAATATTTGTCTTTACATTTTATTTGAAATAATTATATTAATTTTTCTTAGATGAATCAGATCGAAAAACTAGTATAAATATAAAAGAAAATTTGAGAAAACTTATACAATCTAAATTAAAATTAATAAGAAAAGATTTGGAATTGAAAGCATACATATAACTAGTAAACATAGCTTTCGAAACTGAAAGATGGAATCATGTCTGGTAAATTTCTTGAAATATTTATACAATAAATATTTTTTGCTATAATCTAAAATTCTATTTGATTTGGTTTAGATAAAATCAAAACTATTTTGATCATATGAACAAAGTGAATCTTTCCATTAATTGTCGTATATTGTTAATTTCTTGAAAATAAAATAAAATACATATAGTATAATTCTTTTTGTAGGACTTGTAATCACATATAATTACAATATCAAATTCTTGTTATTCGTCGTGTTTTCTCATAGCTAATTCCCTAGATCTTTTTGTCATTTACGCGCCTTATTTGTTTATATTTATTCTATTGTTCCCGTATTGTTAAGAAATATGTGGATTCGTGAAAAAATTAATTAACACAAAAAATAATATATATACACGTAGGAGGATTGCAAGGAATGGAGGGATATGCGACGAGTGTTCGGTACAGTATGGGATATGGAAAATCCTCCGAGAGGGGCATTGACGATAAGGATACAAGTGGTTAGCGCGATCAACGGTGAAGTAAAGTGGGTGCAGCTTGTCGGCGTCATTCCTACTGAATGGAAGGCGGGATTAGCATACGATACGGCAATCCAGTTCGACTAATTATTATATACATACATATCTATATGGGTGCAATTTATGATATTTCTAAAGAATGCATAGATACCTATATATATATATATAAATGTAGTATTGTATTTTAGCATAAATGTATACAATAACTTGTGTAAATCTTATTGTATACTTCTCCTTTGTGTTTGTCAAAAAAATGTGCATAAAATCCTTGTATTTGTGCACAAAATTTTTTGCTGACACGAATGTGAGTTATAAAATAAAATTTATATAATTTGATATACTAGTTTGATTGACCTTTTGTTTGCTTTTTCATTACGTAGCTTGATTGTTTTTAGTAAAAAATATATTAATAGGGTAAACTGTTTTTTTAGTCCCGTAACTGGACCCTTTTATTATTTTAGTCCCGTAAGTGGAGCCTGTCGCAAACTAGTCCCATAAGTGAAAAATTTTCGTTGTTTTAGTCCTCCGGAGCCGGAAACGCCCGCGTGGCTCGCCGGAGGTGATGTGTCCGCCGGGTCAACGACACCTGGCGAACACGTGGATTTTTTATTTTATTTTTTATTTTTTAAATTTTTTTTAAAAACTTTTTTTTAATTTATTTTTAATTTCATTTGTATTTTTTTATTTTTTTTATTTAGTCCAATTTTATAAAAAAATTTAAAAAGAATAAAAATAAATAAATCCACGTGTCCGCCAGGTGTCGCTGACCTGGCGGACACGTCACCTCCGGCGAGCCACGCGAACATCTCTGGCGTCGGAGGACTAAAACAACGAAAATTTTCCACTTATGGGACTAATTTGCGATAGGCTCTACTTACGGGAAAGGGTTCAGTTACGGGACTAAAAACCAATTTACCCATATTAATAACTCATACAAAATATCATGTCCAACTACCGTTTCATTTGAAAAACAACAAAAATGAAAAAATATATACAAAAACACAAAAAGAATGAACCCTATAAAATCGATGTCAAAACAATTCTATTGATACGATTGCTACTAGAAAAAACAATAATAATAATCGCATAATTTGTTGCAAATTTAAATTATGCGATGATAAAATCTCACGTATAACAAATTTACCCAGTGCACACTTTCGGATAGTGGCTGCGAATTTCCACGTAATATTTAATTATATCGTGGTCCTTCGTTAAGATGTATAAGCATACCATCCGGTGGCGAAGCCAAGGGGGGTGCCCTATTTATTGGCTACCCCAATTAATTTAATAGAAAAAATTAGTATTACAAATATTTAATTCGATCATCTAGATATAATAATTCTTAAGCCTATAAGTTTATATATATATATATAAAGGGTCAATGAGAAAAACAAATTAAAATTTGACTGTTTGTAATATTTTAATTTTAATCATATTAAGTATTTTTAAAATATATATTATATATTTAAAAAAAATAAAATAAAATAAAATTGGGCCCTGCCATTGATACCATCTATTAACAATACCGAAGGACAAAATTATCCAATACCATATGATAATTGCTTCTTCAATAAAGAAATAAAAACTCTTCTCTTCGTGTGTTTTTTTTTTTTTTTCTTTATAGTACAATTCTCTTTTTATCTTAAAAATATTGCATTCAACCACCATTATAACAAAAACATATAGAATCGGCTGCGGATTCTTACGTTAAAAAAAAAAAATAAAAAAATACAAAATGGGAGTGCACAACTAGGTGGGAAAAATTGCAAAAAATATTTTACATGTATACCTCATTATCACTTTTGTCCCGTATTCATCCCACTAGCAAAATATATCTCGTATGTTTGCAAAAGTCGTTATTTATATCTTTTGGTCGCGCCTATCGGCACATGATCGCGCATCACTGCGCGTGGTGTGAAACGTCACGCCCGGCTAAAAACAAAAAATAACGATTTTTGCAAACATGTAGGATATATTTTGCCAGCGAGATAAATACAGGATAAAAGTGATATCGGGGTATACATGAGAATATATTTTGCAATTTTTTTCGTAAGATCCAAACTTATGTAATAAATTTAGTACCTTTTAGTGTGATTTATTATCTTGTAAGCATTGTCAATAATGGATATATCCATTCCAAACAAGCATAGTTCTATATTTCGTTTCAAGAAAATAATAGACTCGAATCATAACTTGTTTTCAATTTACAATCTTATAAATTTAGGGGTGTGTTTACTTTGAATGTTTAGGGTGTATAATATTTTGTTATACAATCTAATCATATATTTACTATCTATTATTATAATCCAAGATAAGGTAAAACCTGGTATAATAATACTATAATTAAAAATTATTAATCTTTCTCTTACAAGTGATAATAAATAATACTAAAATATAATTAACATAAAAAAACTATTTTATCTATTATTAATACCTAATTTACTATTAATTTTATTATTTAATTAAGGATATTTTAGGCAAAATTAATAATATTATACAATAATCAATTCTAGTAAACATTGAATTATTTTATCGTATATTATATAATCCATATGAATATGGGTAAACTATTTTTTTAGTCCCCTAAATGGACCATTTATCATTTTAGTCCCGTAAGTGGAACCTATCGCAAACTAGTTCCATAAGTGAAAAATTTTCGTTGTTTTAGTCCTCCGGTGCCGGAGATGCCCGCGTGGCTAGCCGGAAGTGAAGTGTCCGCCAGGTCCCGCCAGATGTCGCTGACCTGGTGGACACGTTGATTTTTTTTTTATTTTTTTATTTTTTTAAACTTTTTTTAAAACTTATTTTTAATTTATTTTAAATTTATTTTTATTTTATTTTTATTTTTTTTATGCAAAATTTTTTCACTGGGACTAGTTTGCAACATGCTCCACATACAGGACTAAAATGATAAAGAGGTCGTTACGGACTAAAAAAACAATTTACTTTATGAATATAATAATATATGTACAATATTATATCACCTACCTCATGTTATAATTCAGCTAAAGTACCTTTGTTAAGATTATTGTATAATATTTTGATTGTATTTCTATGTATAATTCAGCTTGGTATTCGGTATATCGATATATAATGATCGATATTGTACCGATAATATATATATATATATTTCCAATTTTAAATTAATTGATTAATTCTATAATTAGGGATCAATCTCTTGGCAGGTATATCGTCCACAGAAGTGATAATACTCCCTAATCAACAGGCCAACCTCCCAAACACAAACCCTAAAAACTTAGGGGTCAAAAAAGGAAAGCAAAAACACCCATTCTTCATCTAACTAAATTTCTGTAAAATTTTCATTCCTTTTTCATCTCAAATTTCTGTGTTTTTCTCTCCCTTTTAGCATTAATTTAGCAGTTGCATAGACTGCGACTTTCGAATATAATTTTGACTATGAATCCACGAAGATGACACACTTGATACATATATTTCCGACATGCCTTTGAAGGGACAAACACTACAAAGTTTATTCTTGTAATAACCTGAAATTACATCAATACTTATCGGAGAAGATGGCGGAAAAGGGCAGCAACACCACGTCGTACCGGCCGATCGTGTGCTATGCCCCGACCATGATCACGACCAACGGCATTTGGCAAGGAGATAACCCGTTGGACTACGCGTTGCCGCTCTTTGTATTGCAATTGACACTCATCATTCTCACCACTCGCTTCCTCGTTTTCGTCATGAAACCGTTTCGCCAACCTCGTGTCATCCCTGAGATCCTCGTACGTCTCTTTGATCATTAATGTTGTGTAATGAAACTACACTTGATTGAGGGGTGCGTTTAGTTTGAAGGATTATTTAGTTTTTAATAGTTTAAGAATAATTTAGTTTTTAATGTTGTGTAATGAAACTATGCTTTTATTTAGGGTGCGTTTACTTATAAAAAATTATTTAATTTTTAATCGTTTTGGAGATAAAAATTGTAGAGTTTTCTTACATAGTAATTTTTTCAAAGTGAATTATGCGATAAAATTTTGACAGGGCGGGATAATTTTAGGGCCATCGATACTCGGACAAAGCAAGAAGTTTGCGGAGATGGTGTTTCCACTCCGGAGCGTGATGGTCCTCGAGACAATGGCGAATGTCGGGATTCTCTACTTCCTATTCCTCGTAGGAGTCGAAATGGACATTGTAATGATAAAAAACACGGGAAAGAAAGCGTTGGTGATCTCATCGGCCGGGATGATTCTACCCTTCCTTATAGGCGTATCATTCGCATTCGTGCTACACACGAGCGGGCAATGGGTAAAACTCGGCACATTTATTATATTCCTCGGTGTTTCCTTATCGGTCACGGCATTCCCCGTGCTTGCGCGCATTCTAGCCGAGTTGAAGCTTCTCAACACCGATGTTGGAAAAATAGCAATGGCTTCGGCTCTCATCAACGACATGGCCGCGTGGATTCTATTGGCGCTCGCGATAGCAATAGCCGAGGATGAGGCCTTGTCCCTATCCTCATTGTGGGTGTTATTTTCAAGCATAGGGTTTGTTCTTTTTTGCTTTTTCGCGGTAAGACCGATGCTTGTGTGGATTCTACAAAGAACACCCGAAGGCGAAGCGATCAATGAGTTCTACATATGCCTAATTCTTACGCTCGTGATGCTCTTTGGTTTCATAACCGATGCGATGGGGACACACGCCGTGTTTGGGGCTTTCGTCTTTGGTTTGATCATCCCTAATGGACCTATCGGTGTGATGCTTATCGAGAAGTTGGAGGACTTTGTCTCGGCGCTATTGTTGCCCATTTTTTTCGCGATAAATGGTCTCAAGACGGACATTACAACGATCAAAGGCGTTGGGACTTGGATGCTTCTCGCCCTTGTTATAGTTCTCGCTTCGCTCGGTAAAGTTACCGGGACACTACTCGCTTCTCTTTATTGTAACATACCATTCCATGAAGGACTTACTCTTGGATTGCTCATGAACACCAAAGGCCTTCTTGAGATGATTGTGCTTAATGTTGGCAAAGATCAAAAGGTATATGTTTCTTCTAGGTATGATACATACGATGAAGTTAGGGAAAATTGTAAATTTTGTTCTATGTTTATAGTTTAATGATTATTTAATCTTTATTTTTCATCGGTTGTGTTTTTGTCACATATCTTGCAAAAAAGTTAGTTTTTTTTCTAGATAAGAAGATCGACTTTTTTGCAAGATAGTAGATGAGAGGTCGAGAAAATATTGTTTTTCTGTAAGATAGGACCAAAACACAACCGATGAAATATTGAAGATCAAAAGATAAATTATTTTTTAGTCTCTCGTTTTATCATTGTTCCTGGATATGAATAATCCTACAACTAAAACAATTTGGTAGAATTAATCATTTGGCACGAGGTTGCCTACATGACACTATCATGATCTGCCGGAGTTGATGCACATGTAGCACTAACAACATAGCTACGTATAATATTTTATTTAGGTAAAATTATTCCTAATTTATCTTTATTTTATGAAATCTGCACCCCTTTTTTTTGTGATTTAAAAATTATGTGAAATTATTTTATATTTTAAAAAATATTGCATAAAATTATTTTTCTAAAATTTCTGTACAATAATTTTTAAAATACGAAAAAATATTATACAATTTTTAATAAATTTTATATAATATTTTCTAAAACACGGTGAAGTCGGACCATTCTAAATGACATAGAAGAATGATGTAGACTTTTGGATTTTGCATTTATTTTATTAATGAGATGAGATATAAACAAAATATAGCATTACAAATGGCACTTACAACATAGATATATGTGAACACATCAGTTCCAACAGGTCATAATGACACCATAGTCAACTCCGGTATCGAATAACTATTTCTGCCCTTTTTTTTTTTATTATTGTGGAATTGTTTTCATATATTCTCACCGTTCCAATACAGTAGTTCTGTTTATCATTTTTGTCCGTCTTAAAATAATAGTCTTATTTTCATAAATAATCATATCACTATAAAATTACCTTTACCACAATTGTCACTGCTTTTTACATTAATACACTCACAAGGACAAAAAAATCTTTTACCCGTATTTTTCACCCACTACCAATATAATATCAATATTCTTTAAATCTCGTGCAAAAAATAACCCAAACTATAGTTTTGGGACGGAAGGAGTATAATTTATTTATATTCTAAAATGATAAATGAAGTTAAGGGACTAAATAATAGTGTAATCGAAGATAAAAAGTGTTCACTCCGTCCGGCCCTAAGGTTTCATTTACCTTTTGCGTCATTATACTTAACGCTAAAAATATCCTTATATTTATATAATTTTTTGCACAAATATCATTATAATAGTATTATAAGACACTGATACAAGTACTTTTACTATTTTCCTTTAATTTGAACTACGTTTTCAAATAATAATTAATATTTAAATATCAACACGTAAAAGGTAAATGAGACTATTAGAATCACACAGAGGTAGTAATAATTAACCGTATGTATAGAACTAAATTTGTAATCTTCCATTGACATTACCTTGAAAAATAACATCAATGTTGGTATTCGAATGTAGGTTTTGGATGACAAATCTTTCGCGATACTTATCGTAGTAGCGACTTGCATGACGGCAATCGTCCAACCGGCCATCACGAACATACAAAAACCGGGTCGAAAATACGTCCCTTACAAGAGGCGAACCGTTCAACAAGCAAAGCCCGGCGGTGAGCTTCGCCTATTAGTATGCATACATACGCCGAGGAATGTCCCGACAATAATCCATCTCCTCGAGGCCACAAACGCGACTAAAAACTCGCCAATTCGCGCGTACATCCTCCACCTCCTCGAGGTCACCGGTCGCCAATCCGCGATGCTCATTGTCCACAACATGCGAAAATTAGCGACAAACCAATCCAACAACAAATCGTACCATATCTTCAAAGCCTTCGAAAACTTCGTGCAACAAGAAGAGTTCATCACGCTCAACCCGCTCACGGCGATATCTCCCCCGACCACAATGCATGAAGACATATGTGGCGTCGCCGAGGACAAGCATGTCACGCTCATCGTCTTGCCTTTCCACAAGCAACAAACCGTCGACGGTGGAATGGAAGTCACCAATCCGGCCATTCGAACTATTAATGTAAATGTGCTCGACAATGCGCCGTGTAGTGTGGCAATTCTTGTCGATAGAGGCTTCAATGGGCCGGCGAGATCGTTCTCCGGGAACAATAAGTTCCACCACGTCGCCGTGCTATTTTTTGGAGGGCCCGATGATAGAGAGGCGTTGGCCTTCGCGTGGAGGCTCTCCGAGCACCAAAGGAACAACCTCACTATACTACGTTTTACAACAGGAGAAAATACGTCACACAATGGGCTCGAGGAAGATCTTGATGAGAAGTACATAAATAAATTTTGCGAAGGGACCGAAGACAATTCGTCGGTTGCATACATGGAAAGAGAGGTGAGTCATGGCGAAGAAACCGTCGGAATCATAAGGTCGATGAACAAAAACCATGACTTGGTGATAGTAGGTCGGGGGCGCGGCGTGACTTCTCCGGTGACGGCGGGGCTTAGCGATTGGTGCGAGTGTCCGGAGCTCGGCGCAATAGGAGATTTGTTGGCCTCGCCGGATTTCACGTCGACCTATTCGGTGCTCGTAGTGCAACAATACCAAGGGGATGAGGTACTCGGTGATGTCGCCACCATTAACATGCCGGAAAGTCCTAATGAGCACCACAACGACGAGGCTCGGCCGTCGCCGGCGCCGGAGGAAAAAATTGGTCATCAACCGTAACCCTAAAGGCTTGCCGGAGATTAACCCTAATGTTTAGAAATTAGGGTATAGAAAAGCCAAATGTACGTAGTAAGCTTTCTATTTTATTATGATGTAGTGTGATACTTATAGTTCACCACATTCAAGTCTTGTTTACATTGCTGGATGGATCGATCAATCACTTTGGGGAAAAAAGTGAAAATAAAAGTTCATGCATGGGTTTGTTTGGTTTGATTTGTGTTTTAAACTAAATTTCTTTTACTATTCTATTTATACGGATTTTTTATAAAAATATATATATTTTTTAAATAAAATATCATATTAAAATACTAATTAAATTTAAAAAAGAAGTTCAAACTAAAACAAAAACCAACTGCTTTGTTATGAATCAACAATTTAAATGAAAGAAAATGAATTAATTGTAGCATGTTTAAATGATTTAGGGTATGTTTGCTACGTTTGTGTTTTATGTTTGTTTATATAATGATTGAATGTGATATCTTTTAAGAGAAATTAATAATGTATTTATATGAAAATTAATAATGAAATAATATGTTAAAATTGATACTTGGTCATACACTTATTGGGCCAACCCATTGTGAGAACATATATATATATATATATATAAACCAGCCCCTTAGGGCATATAGAGTTCATCTTCTTCATTCTCACCTTACGCCGCTGCACTCGTTGCCCTTTCCTTCCATACACTGCTTCACGGTGCACTTATCGCAGTCGCAATCATCCTCTTTCATACACTTGCCATCACACACAAAGCACCTAACATCAATCGCTCTTCACTTCTAATCCATACACTGTTCTCACTTGTGCACAATCTACACGCGATTACTCGAATCGCTTCATTACGCATCCATCATTCGTTCGCACTCTAATCGATCTCTGTATCGATCTTCTTTCACTTCATCTTTGCTAATACATCACTTATACATATTATTGTTAGAGTTTCTATCACTTCTCTTCTCTTCGCAGGCTATTAATCTGATCCAGTGAGTTGATGTGATGTACCTTGAAGTTCCGGTCTACAAGGCTTATGGAAAGCAACTGGTGTGATACATACATCTGGTTCACTACAGATCTGGTTGTATCATTTCTTATTACCTTGATGTCTGCTGGTTTATGACTGACTGTGAACTGTTGGATGTGTTCCTGTGAGAACACGTTGCTTTCCTTGTTGATTCATGTGTCGATTTACTTAGTTTGTGATCCTGTGTGACTTTAGCGATTACTCATTCATTATCGCTGCCTATGTACACCGATGTGGTTTCTTTTTCTCTAATAATAGAGATTGGAGTGTAGGTGTTCCTCACTCTTGCTACAAATTTGTGTGTTAAATTTTTTTTTAGTTGTTAACATGGTATCAGAGCTAAGTTTAACTCACTTCTCGTTGTCTTCGTAGGTACTGTATGACCTCAACAAGAGTTCTGTAAGTCTCATCCTCCTTCTAAGTGTTTAGGAAAGTCTAGGTGTACAAGTAACTGGCTAGTCTCTATAAGAGGTCCAGTAGCTGACCACTGTAACTGGTATTTTTTAGTTTCTTCTTTCACCCTAGTCACTATGGGTGAGACTTCTGCTCAAACTTCAGGTTTGTCTAATGTTCCTCATATGGTGAGTCTGAATTACTTTGATCCTCTTTACCTTTATGCTTCAGATTCATCTAGTGCATCCTTGGTTTCATGTGTACTCACCGGTTGTGAGAACTATATAATTTGAGATAGAGCGATGACTATAGCCTTATTACGAAAGAATAAGCTGGACTTTGTTAAAGGTAATGTGCCTATGCCTACTGATCTTGAGTTGTCTAAAAGGTGGAGCATGTGTAATGCTATGATCATGTCTTGGATATTAAATTATGTAGATAAATCCATCTATAGAACTCTTGTTTTTCATACCAAAGCCTCAGATATATGGACGGAAAATAAGAAAACATATGGAAAGAGTAACGCAGCCAATGTATATGCTCTCTTGAAAGAACTAGGTAATTGTGTTCAAGGAAATGACAGTGTAAGTGCATACTATTCAAACCTGAGAGTTTTGTGGGATCATGTAGCTTCTATTAAGGTTGTTGACATGTGCATGTGTACTGCCAAGTACTCCTTAGATAAATATGAACAAACTCAAAGACTTGTGCAGTTCCTAATGGGTTTAAATGATAAATATATTGTTGTTAGGAGCACAATACTTGCTATGGACCCTTCTCCTTCTGTGTCTGAGGCCTATAACATAGTTTCACAAGAAAAGTCACACAAAAAAATCTGTGCAATCACAGAATCACCTAAACAAACAGGTGCTTTTGTTGTTAAGAAAACATTCAGATCAAATGCAAAAAATTCAAATTTGAAATGTTATCACTGTGGTCGCTCAGGTCACCTAGTTGAGAAATGATACCAATTAATTGGCTATCCTGATAGAAAACAAATTCCTAGACAAAATAAACATGTGGGTAATTCTGCAAAATTTTCATCTAGCCAATTTTTGACTGTTGGTACTGAGAATTCATCAGCTAATGTTATATCCTCAACTTTTTCTTGTAATTCACCTATGTGCTGTGAGTGGATTTTAAACTCAGGAACTACTAATCATATAGTAGCCGATAGAAATATCCTCTTTGATGTTAGAAAGCTTTCAAGTGGCCCTCTGCATGTTACCTTACCTACTGGAAAAACTGTTAGGGTTATTGAATGTGGGAAATTCCAGTTTAGGAATAACATTGTCCTTGAAAATGTTTTGGTTGTTCCAGAGTTCACTCTCAATCTGTTGTCAATAGGAAAGCTTGTTTCCCTTAGGACACTTTCTGTTTCTTTTTTTAGGAATGGCTTTACCATCTACAGTATCATTGATGGCTCAAGTATGTTCTTTGCCAAGCTCAATAATGGTCTCTATACACTACCGGTAGAAGTGTCATCTTCTTACAAATCCTGTAGTGTAAATACCTTAGACCAATACGATCTTTGGCACCTTCGTTTAGGACATCCCTCTGATGTTAATCTAAGTCTCCTTGATTCTGACCTCGAGTTCTCCTGTAAGAAAAGTGTTGTCTATGATGTTTGTCACCTGGCCAAACAAACTAGGACACCATTTCCCCTTAGTGATCATAAGTCCACCTCAACCTTTGATCTCATTCATGGAGATGTGTGGGGACCGTATCGAGTTGAGTCTAGAGGAGGTTTTAAATACTTTCTAACACTTGTGGATGACTTTTCTCGCGTTGTGTGGGTGTACTTACTTGCTGCTAAATCTGATGTGAGTGGTTGTATCATAGAGTTTGTGTCTCTCATAAAAACTCAGTTTGGAAAAACAACAAAATGTTTTCGCTCTGATAATGGGACTGAGTTTTTAAACAGCTCCCTATCCTTTTTGTTCTCCTCTCTAGGAATTATTCACCAAAAATCTTTTGTGTATACCCCTCAACAAAATGAAATTGTTGAGAGAAAACACCGTCATATTCTCAATGTTGCTTGTGCTCTTATGTTCCACAGTAGTTGCCCTCTGTTTCTGTGGGGAGATGTTGTTCTTACTGTTGTTTATTTGATAAACAGAACGCCTACCTCTCTTCTAGGTGGTAAAACACCTTTTGAGTTAATTCATCGGTGCAAGCCTAATTTTACAAAGCTAAAAGTGTTTGGTTGCTTGTGTTATGCAACAATGGTAAATCCCACCGATAAGTTTCAAGCACGTGCTACTAGATGTTGTTTTGTTGCTATGCTGAAAATAGAAAATGATACAAGGTGCTGGATCTTGAGTCAAATACTATTTTTATATCTTGTGATGTCAAATTCCATGAGTCCATTTTTCCTTTCAAGGATACTCTTCTAGTTTCACCTCTGCAGTTTCAAAACTATACTCCAGCACCCCCTACTAGTGCCTATGATGATATTCTTCAACCCTGTGAAGGCAGTCCATTGATGGCACCTGTTGTTGATGTCCAAGACTCTCACTTGGACTCATAACAATCTGCAACCTTGGACAACAACACAGATTGTTCTAGTGAGGACTCTCACATACCAGACACAAACACTCTCTCTTCTGGGGCAATTTAAAGCAGGCGCAAGTCTAATAGAGTCTCTAAGCTTCCAACCTATTTGAGAGACTGTGAAGTGTTTCTTGGACACGCTAGTGTGAGATATCCAATAACCAAGGTCTGTCAAACTCCAAAGTTAATCTCTCCAACAGCCACCTGTTTCCTTGCTAATCTTGATAAAGCAATTGAATCATATTCTGTGAGTGAAGCCCTACAATATCCAAAATGGAAGAAAGCCATGGATATTGAAATGCAAGCCTTACTTGAGAACAATACTTGGATTCTTTCAAATTTACCAAGTAATAGAAAACCAGTTGACTGTAAGTGGGTTTTCAAAGTAAAATATAATTCATATGGCAGTGTTGAACGATACAAGGCACGCCTTGTTGCCAAAGGTTATAGTCAGAGAGAGGGTCTTGATTTTCATGAAACATTTTCACCTGTAGTTAAAATGGTTACAGTTCGTTGTGTTGTCTCTTTGGCTGTCTGTCGGGGGTGGAAAATCTTTCAACTAGATGTTAATAATGCTTTTCTACATGGAGATCTTAATGAGACAGTTTATATGTTACCTCCGGAAGGGTATCCTGACTTGTTTAAGAACAAGGTCTGTCTCTTGAAAAAGTCTCTTTGTGGACTAAAGCAAACCCCTCGCCAATGGAATGAAAAACTGAAAACAACAATGATAAAGTTTGGGTTTACTCAGTCTCTTCATGATTATTCTCTGTTCATTAAAACTGAAAATGGTCTTATCACTGTTGCGTTTGTATATGTAGATGATATTTTAATCACAGAGGATGATATAGGTGTTATTTCTTTCTTTAAACAGTTCTTGCATGATAGATTCAAAATTAAAGATCTTGGTTTAGTTCAATACTTTTTAGGAATAGAGGCAATTGAGTGTAGTAAGGGCCTTGTGTTTAGTCAGAGAAAATACACCCTGGAGCTGCTTGCAGAATATGGTGTTTTGGGGTGCAAATCAGCT